TGATTCTATGATTGATTCTGTGATCTGTGATTGATTCTGTGATTGATTGACTCTGTGATTGACTCTGTGATTAACTCTGTGATTCTGTGTCCAGGTGGGCACAATCCAAGGATTCCTGGGAATTTGGGTTTTTGGTGGATGCTCTTCCTGTGCAGTTCCTGATGCAGGAAGAGCCCTGAAATGGAGTGGGACCTTGAGGACAGACCCTGTCCCTGAGTACAGACCCCGACCTTGGGGACAGRCMCYRMMCTTGGGGACAGACMCTGCCCTTGGGGACAGACCCCRGCCTTGCCCTGCCGWGGTTCCTCAGCCCCTGGAGGTGCTGTGGTGTCCACGGGGACACTCCATGTGCAGGACAGAGAGGATCCCCCTCCCTGGAGGCCACCACAGGTGAGACAGGGGGGTCACCTGAGACAGAGGATGGGACACTGAGATGGTCACAGGTGGGTGTGGCCACCCCAGGTGACACTGGGAATGACCAAGTGACACCAGGTGAGATGGGGGGGGACACCTGGGACACAGGACAGGGCACAGTGGGGGAGGGTCACAGAGGCTCCATGGGGACACAGRGACATGGCAGGAGGAGGGGTCYCTCAGGTGAGACCGAGGGYCACCAGGTGAGCACAGGTGASRTGAGGGGGTCACCCCTGGGGACACAGGACAGAAGGGGACATGCCAGGGGTCACAGCCAGGACACAGCACCAGCTCCAGACTCTTTAATATCCCACCCTCAGCTCGCGAGGGGGCTCTGCCCACCCAGGGGACTCTGCCCACCTGGCACCATCTCCTGCTCCTTGTGTCCCCCCCAGGCCACCCTCTGCACCCCTCCCCAGAGCTGGCTGTCCCCAAATGGCGTTTCCAGGAGCTCCTGGAAGGAGAATCCACCAGGGAACCCAAAAATCAGGGGGTGGAAAACGAGGCCAGGAACCCCCAGCCCTGCCTGGAGCACCCCAGAGAGCTGGCAGGAGCCACCCCTGGGGACAGTCACAGCTCCTGAGGACAGCGCCAGGCCTGGCAGAGGGACATCCTGGAGACACACCGTCACAACGAGGGGGTTCAGGGGTCACTTTGTTCTGTTTGGGGTCACCTTGCTCCGTTTTGGGGTCACTTTGTTCTGTTTTGGGGTCACCTTGCTCCGTTTTGGGGTCAC